TTGTCACAGTCAGGACAGCAAAAAAGTTCTTTCTCTCATAGTTCTATGTAACGTTAGCTAAATAATCTTGAGTTACTCTATTTAAAACACATCTTATTAGTAGTATAGTACTGTAGTTTATGTGTTCCTAATTTTTCATTTTAGTTTTTCAGAAAGTTTTGGTGCATCTTTGAGGAAATCTTCTGATTTTTAAAATATATATCTAATTGGAAATTTCCCTAAACAAACTTGCCTTGAAATTCATCAAGAACATGTTTTACTAAAGGGAATTTTAAGCAATAAATTAGATGCAAAACCTAATTAGATCAGGCTGATCTTAACCAAAGCTGAAAAATATGAGCGTTCCCTCTCCCATAGAGATGCTATCTATAAAAACACTTCTAAATACTCTGTCCTCCACAATTAACTAACTGAGTGTGCTCCTCTGTGTTCAAATGTGCTTTACCTCTTGGACTTATTTATAACTGTCAAGCTACATAATTGGAAATGCCATATTTTGCATCCCAAAGCCTTAATAGTTCATATATTAGCAAGAAAATGGTTATTTATGGGTCTTATTTTCCTTTTCCCCTCTTTTTCATTTATTGAGTTCTCAAGTCTTAACCCAGCTTCCTGAAATTGGACTAGTGAGGAGTTTCTGTGAATTGTTTTCATTCCCGAGACTTTCAAATCTTTGCAAAACCTGCCTTAAAGTATTGCCATCAATGTGAAGACCGAGTTGTACTTGTCTAAATCACCAAAGTGCTGTTGGAACCTAGTGCCTTTGATTTCAATCAGACCCTGTAGCTCTTCGTACATTTTCAAGATGTGATTAGGGTCTATGCGCTTTCTGAGCACTGGGAAGCAAGGTGGCCTGTTGCATTTTAGGAACTTACATTGTTCACACCAGGAAGCGCTTGTTTCCAAATGAAGAGCAGTCAGCATCTGGAGCAGAGCGTTTCACTCAGAGGTGTGAGTACTGCAGTCTCCACACGAAGCTCTTTATTCTGCTCCACACGTTCCTGTCTCTAATGTTCTCCACCCGGCATGAATTCCTGATGGGGAAAGAAAATATATTGGCTTTTTATTTAATAACAAACCTTCAGAATTGCAGAGTGAAGACTTACAAGCTATATTCTTAGCATAAAATGTAATTCTTTCATACAAGGTTAAAAGAAAGCTTAAAACAAAAGTAGACTGACGTTGTATATTTTCTTGTGATTTATGAGCTCCATCAAATTCAGAAATTATTAGGCACAAAAGCATCTGGTGCTAATCCACCCCCACCTGGTTTCGTGGGTTGCCAGGCTGACCAAAGCACAGTAGGCACGTGACTGCCAGAACTGAACCTGACCAAGGCATACCCTGCCATCTACTGTGATGAGAAATAATGGTGAAAAATAAAGGCTCAGTCATTAAAAACCCAACAAAGCCAAAACTACAACTGCTTTCCCAGTATTTCTTCCATAGTATACAGAAATATATATATATATATATATTTTTTTTTTCATTTTTTTCTTAAAGGCAAATAAAACAGTTAAGAAGATGTGTGAGCCAATTTCTAAAACTGTGCTGTGCTCTAAAATTTTGCTTTAGACTAGTTTAAATAGTAGCTAGGCTTGGTTAAGTGGATGCTTAATTTAATAGATTTGATTACACTGATAGGCTTGATTAACATACATTAGAGTCCTTACGTTGCACATCTGACTAATTCAAATTGTTATAGATAAAAACCAAAGGCTTTTGAATTTGGAAGCTCTTGCTCTCTTTAGCTCAGCAGAATTTCAAAATTAGTAGTTTGTACATCAGATATCACAGAAAGGATGTTTACATGGGAGCTCTCCCTGGGGAACTGCGGGACACTAGCATTGTCTCTTTGGACAGGCCTGGGCTGCAGTCTCCATAGAAGCTGGCAGCCTCTGGTTGGCTTCATCCACTGAAGTGACCTTCCTGATTTTCTCCTGCCAGTGTGGGTGAAAGACCGTTGGCTCTCCAGGGAGCTGATGCTTCTGTGATCATAGAAAACAGCCAGCAGCGCTGCTCCCGTGGTCCTCTCCAGCTGCCCCTTGCATGTTGAGCATCCCTGCACCTTGTTTCTCTAAGCAAATTATGTCTGTGTTTAAGAATCAGTTTGTATCTTCTATCAACGTTTCTCCACCCCCTTTAGAGACAGTTTTCTGTTTTCATGTACTTTGGTTTAAAGGATGCACCTCATACAGCATTCCTGACAAATGCCTGTTGAACTCTTGAGAAATACCTGTATGGAAATGACTTTCACAATAAAATGTAAGCTACAAGAGAAAAGGAAAGTTGTATGCTTTTGCTTTACATTTCTCTTAGAGTCTATCCTTATGTTTTAGTTTAGATTAAAAACTCAAGGGGGCCTGGCCCTAGCTCAGTGCTTTAAGTGACTGCTTCCCCAAAGCTGTCAGCCTCAGGTGGCTGTGGTTCAATCCCCACAACTCAAGCCAGCCAAACCTGCCCTGAAGCATTCGGAGAAAAAAAAAAAAAAGCAAATTCTCTCCAATAGAGCCCCTTGGTGTTGTCAATTCTGTTTGTGCAAGGAGAATGGCGCCTTCTGCTTGACATCCC